TGTGAGAGAATGAAAAGATGAAAATAAAGTGTTTGTAGATGGGGAGGGGAGGAGGGGGTGAAGGGAGGGCAGAGGTAAGGGGAAAAAATGAGAATCAAGACTTGCCATGTAGAGGTACATGATCCCAACAATGAATGTAACTGTACTGTATCCCTAAAATGTACCAATAAACTCAAAAAAATTAAAAAAAAATTATCCAAGTCACAACGCATCAATCAGGAATAAGATGTGCTTAGAAAAAAGGAAGTGCAAACTTGAAGAATGGTTGAAATACTAATAGCTTCTGGTGAAGTTAGAATATATATAGATATTTGTTTCCCCTGAATGTAACTGTACTGTATCCCTAAAATGTACCAATAAACTCAATAAAATTAAAAAAAAATTATCCAAGTCACAACGCATCAATCAGGAATAAGATGTGCTTAGAAAAAAGGAAGTGCAAACTTGAAGAATGGTAGAAATACTAATAGCTTCTGGTGAAGTTAGAATATATATAGATTTAGTTGTTTCCCAAAAATGGCAAAAAGAGGGCTCGGGATTTAGTTCAGTGGTGCTGCCACCTGCCTTGCAAGTGCATGGTCCCAAGTTCAATCCCAGATACCGCCCCCCCCACCAAAAAAAGGCAAACAGAGCAGCAGTACATCTCAAAATTTATCTTTTCTTGAAATCTAATAAGGAAGTATTATGGATCATGCAGCCATTCTTACATTGCTCTAAGTGGAAATGTTTGTGTTCAACAAATGAAGTTGCCATGTTTTAGTTTAAAGATAGATGAGTACCAAATATTTTCCTACAGTTCAACCCAATGATAACCTAAATCAAAGAAGTTTTTTACAAGTGCTTATTAAGAGGAAGTAGATGAGAGAATATAGCTGAGTAGATATGAAAGTATCATCAGGTAATATTTTCTATCTTTTTCCACATAAATTATTTCTAACCCCAAAATCACTGCTTGCCCATCGTACTAGCAGTGTCTTCCACATTCTAACCCATCAATAATACCAATCTTCAAATGATGAAATTTATTTATTTTCTAATTGTAATCTGTACAAATAGGCATTCTGTGATTTTACTTTTCTAGATGCTCAAAATTATTGAATTTGGAAGATGTATCATGCAACATGTAGTACGTGAACTACCACAGAGTATAAAGGAAAACTGCAGGATTTCTAGCAAGAAAATCAGGCTTATAAATAAAGTTTTTTTTTAAAATTTCATAGGACAAATGCAGTATAATCAATCATGAAGTACTTTCAGGTTAGAGAAAGAATTCATGAACAGTGTCACCTAGCTTCTTTAGTGTTGTGTCTAGTCACTAAGAAAGGAGAAAAATCCTTTAAAGTACTAGATTAATTTTCTTAAATCTGTAACTATCATTTATCTCCACCTATGTACCATGCTTCTGTGTATAAAAAAATATATGCAGAGACTTTAAAAAATTTTTTCCTAAATTGACAATAATACAGTCTCAGTTGAACCTTTAATAGCTATGATTTTGAACAGAGAAGGAGCAAAGTAATATCTAACATTATTTCACAACTAGTTTTGAAGATAGACATTCCAATTTTGACTCTACTGAGTTTTCCTAATCACCTGTGGCATTTTCATTTTAGAACAGCCAATTCTTATCAGTTCAACTGAACAGCTCTGCACCTTCCAGAAAAATGCTATGCAAATAGGATCACTATTGCCAGGGTAGGTAATAGTTACCTTTTCCATGTGAAACCAATATATTTTAATGCTTCTTCAGCTAAACAATCAAGAATATAGCATACATGCTCTCCATAACCTGACTTTAATTTTGAAGGGGGAAAATCTGCAGTTCTCCCCTGAAAAACAAAAGAAAAACAAAATATAAAAAAATGTTAGTTGTCCTCTGTCAAAATATTTTAAGCAAAGAGCTGATGAATACATGTGTTTTTTCAATAATTTAAAATAACTTTAATTACATTCTTAGAAATTCATCTAAGTCTTTTAAATCCATTGATACTTTAAAAAAACAAGCATAAAGACATTTTATTTTTAAAAATACCAAATTAAAAGCTAATTATACCACAGCACCAGATGTTGGGTGAAAAAAAAATCAGTAAAAACTACTAGCTTAGTAACATATGAAGTGTGATTTTTAAAAAAATACAGTGAAAGCTTACTTTAAAAAATTTTATTATAGTAAAAGATAATTGCCATCAATCCCCCTCAAACTACTGTCCTCACTTCAAACACACTTATCCCAAGCAGTAGTTTTTGAAGTCCTCTTTTATGAGTATCTTTAGTTGCACTGATGTGGCTGCCTTGCTGTGATTCAAAATGTTTACCTTTCATGGACATTTGGTCTAGAAGTCTAGTGCCAGATCCAAAGAATAAGGTGGACACACAAATAGTGTTTTTACAAGACTGCCCATGGCTCTTGGCAGCAGTGTTCACTACATTTTCTATCAGTTTGTAAAGACATGAAAAGACTTTGTAAACTACTTCACAACGTGGCAAGTACAATACGATAAGTGTGTGTGAAGCAAGGGGGAATATTTTGAGGGCATTCATAGCAATATATCTTTAATTATAATAGATTTTTAAAAATTTAAATGTTCACCATTTGATCACCCCTTGTATAACCTAAACAACTACGTGAGGGACAGAATGATTCACTTGTCAAAAATTAGTAACATTTTTGCTAAAAATGTCCTATTTCTTTTCTCTAGGAAAAGTCAGAAATGAAATGCTATCATGGTCTCTTAAGTCAAAGTTCCCTTTCAAAATTCAAAGTATATCAACATCAGTCTTTCACCATTCTTTTAGAGGGAGAACTAACCACTCATAAATTTACCTCTGAGATTTACTAAGATTAAGAAAAATATTATTTTGGCTTATAAAAGGTATTTCAGAAATGGCATTAATGGTATGATATCAATCATTCTGAAGTTTTACCAGAAAAAAATTCAGAGATATACAAACAAGTACACACACACACACCCAGAGTCATATAAATGGCTATCATTTGTTATTGAATTACCAATATTAAAATTTATAACTTGAGAATATGCAGAAAGAAGTGTGTTTGTACTTACAAATGACCGAAGTTCAGATAAAATGTTCGATATTGTTGCATTAGGATCATCATACTCTTGAGGCTGCTCAAAGGGATGTCCTGCTTTGTTAATCAGCCAAGCAGCAAGAGTGCAAAACATGTAGAACTGTTCACCAGGGTTGGTAGGGAGAGCAAAATAGTGTCTGTTTCAAAACAAAGGAGGATGGGGGAATGTGAAATAATGTAAATAATTCTACAATAACTACTGGAGCCAAGTCCAAAATTGTTAAAGAATCCTTCCCAGACCATGGCCTTCAAATCAAAAGACACTGATAATTCACTCTTTGAAGTTTCTAGGAATGTACAGCACCCACACGAAAGTTTTGAATCAACAGGAATAGGACAATTACTATTGTACACAAAATATTAAATCAAAGGCCTGATACCCAGGAAATGTAGTGCATGTTAGAAGACAAAGCCTATGAAACTTTTCCCAAAATCACTTAAGTAATTAAAAATCTGGAAATAATAATGAAAATAATAAATTGGAATTATGGTAATATCGGGGTTTAAAAAAGGTCTTGAAGATTATTCAATATGCAGTTTTACTATTTCTAACCTAGCCCTATTGGCTAAGTTAAACAGTTGCATTTATCTTGGTTGCATATTCAAAATAACTGATAGCTTCTAAAAATACTACCTGGACTAACACGGCTACTTTTCACATCAATGGGTCATAACTTCTGGTAGTGAAGCCCCAGTATAGGTAGATTCTAAGAATTTCCTACATGGTTCTAGTGTGCATCCAGGATTAGAAACTCTCATTCCCAGTCTGATGAACAACTGTTGAATTCTGCTAAATCCCCTACTGTACTTGAAACTGCCAGAGTATCACTGTGTTTTATAACAAAATATGATGGAAAGAAAACTTGTCAGCAACAACATTCAAGTCAGTTGAGGAAAGATCATATTTTACTTTCTTCATGTAGCTTTATGTTTATAATATATATATATAGCTAGTAAGCCACTATCATAAGAATTAGTGGTCTACACTTCTTGTTTTTAAAACTTTTTCCTTCAGGGTAAGTGTAAATATTCTAGAAGACAACAAAAATCTTTTAAGAAAAAAGATCACGAAGTCCCTCTCCAGGTATATGCTTACAACCCTTTCGAAGCACCCACTCACCAACAACTCATTTTTTTTCCCCTTATTACTGATAAATCAAGGACAGAGGAATGAATGCTGATACTGTAGACCTTGGACAATAATTCTCAAACATTACTGTGCATCCAAATCACACAGGCTTGATAAAATACAGACTGCTGGCCCCACCCCTAGCATTTCTGAAAAGGTACAGTTGAGAAATGGCCCGAGGAATTTCATTCTAAATTCCCAAGTGAGGCTGAAACTGTCTGATGCTCACACTGAAGAGAACCACGGGACTAGGTAGGGTATCCCCACACAAACCCATGACTCAGAGTATCCTGCTCAATCCCTGAGGAAACTGTACAGAGATGATCTTAGTAAACCTTGAAACTATTTTCTTGAAGTTTGACATATATGTTTGGGTAAAAATAGTACATTTTTATTAACATAGAAAGTGGGCTTGTCTATATTATTATGATCAATTCATTTTAAGCAATTAATTCCCATCCTACTTTTGTTATCATCGATCAAGCTAAACTACTTTTTCTTGTAACTCTTCTATTATGGACTAACTTGATGACATGTACAGCTCACAGAAAGCCTACATATCATTCAATTCAAACTAATGGGAGAGAGCAAAAGACTGAGATCAAAACTGCCAAGGAAAATGATTTGAACCCACCTGTAAACATTAAAAGAAAGCATTCTAGATTCTTAATATTGTCTCTGAAAGAACAAACAAATGTAGGTATTAATGTTTTTTAATTGAGTTTATTGGTACATTCTAGGTGGACAGTACAGTTACATTCATTACTGGGATCTTGTACCTTTACATGCTGTAGGTATTAATGTTAAGGAAACAATACCGACAGAAAGCAATAAAACTTAGTGATTTGGCTATCACTAAACTGCAGTGATTTGAAGAAAAAGCTCTAGCTGTCCGTTATCTCAGCAACTACAGTAACTCACTAAGCAACCAAGGCACTTTACAATATAATCAACTTTTCCCCCCACCGGCAAAATGCACTCTTAGTTCTATGATAAAACAATTCCAACATTTGTCATTTCATTTGTTTTCTCTACTTCTCTGTTTCTGAGAGTACTGTTACTGCAAAGGCAGAGGTCTTTCAACCCGTAGCCGTTAGTGCACAAGTTTCCCAACTGCATACAAAGCACTCCTCAGCAAGTGCGGACAAGGTCCAGGGAAGGCAGGGTGGGGGGGCACCTTAGAAACGCATCTAAACGATAAGGGCATTCAGCCCTAAATATCAGAGTATGGGGCATGTTGGCATTTTTCTACAAGTTCCCGTGTTTTCCTGAGTTTTCTGCATTGGGCATTTTCATTACCTTTGTAACATAGATTGTGTTTCGTGTGTTTTAAAGAATAGGCAGGCTGTTTTCCACTCCTCTCCGCCCCGCAGTTCCAAGACTTGTTTACTTTCTCTACAAAAAGACCCAATTCGCTCCAAGCACTCCATGCGCTCCCCTGCACTTTGCGCCAAATTTCTAGCGAAGCGCCCTTTCCAGCCAGGGAAGATGGAGATCAGGCTTCGCTAATCCGCGTTCGGTGTTCACAGCAAGACAGAGGAAGGCATCTCCCCGGGGCCCAGCCAGCACGGGGCCCCGGGGGACGTGGGCACCCACCTGGACGGGGGCTTCAGGTTGCTTTTCCGGAGGAGGCCCTCCTCGTAGTGGAGCAGCTTCAGCTTCTCCACCAAGTACTCCATCACCACGAACATGTGGTAGGCCGCGCCCGGCCCACGCTCCACCACCGCCTCCCCGGCCCCTTCGCCACGAGACCGAGCCACCCGATCCTGCAAGCCAGACGGGGTGACCACGGCTGCAGCGGCAGCCATTGCCGCATAGACAGATAGAGCCGGGATCTAAGGGTCCGGGCCCTGTGACCTCCGCGGCCTAAGCCGCCTAAATTGAAGCCACTAGCACCGCCGCAGCGACCCGTTACCAGGCGACCGCCAGGAACAGGTCGCCTAGGAAACTAGACCCCGCCTCATTCCCGCCCTTCAGATTTCTTCTAAAGGCCTCCAACCAGGAAGGGAGTGCTGCGTGACGTCACACCATGCCTGCCCCCCCCTTATCCCGCCTTTTAGGGAGGTACTAGAAGGTGTCCCCGCCCCTGTAGAGGCGTGGCCCCCCGCCGGGCTCCTCCCGCCGGCTTCTTTGGGCTTTGGTTTAGCAGCAGGGCCGGCGGGAGGGTCTCTACTTACCTGGCGGTAGGTACTTGGCTGGCGCGAGGCCTGCCCAACCTGCTTAACCAGGACAGCTGAGCGGGCTTCTGGGTACCTGGTATTAACAAAGATTCAAGGGAAGCGAAGGTACGCAGTATGGGGGATAAAGCTAGCTCACTCATTCCTTTTATTTTCTCAAAATTGAAAGTTTGTGTAGTGGTGGTCGATATCATTAGCTTCACTTTACCTTGGGAACTTACTAACAAATTTTTAAAAAGCAACTTGATAGGTAATGCATTAGGTAATGCTGTATTGCACAATGTAAGGCTTGAGCATTATTTACAGTGCCCGCTTATCACTCCAGTGCTAAGAAAGCACTGTACGTAGTTGGTTGGGAGGGGGTAGGGGACAAGACAAGATGAGCAAGAAACAAAAGGATTAGAAAGGTTTTGTTCTACTTCAAAAACAAGAATACTAACTTCACATCCTACTGCTTAATCCGTTTCTAGCTCATTGTGTGTGATATAAAGTTTTGGAGTACTTTCTTAAAAGCAACAAAGACTACCTTACAAGGAATTTATGTGAGTGTAACTAATGACAGTTTCACCACTGTATTCTGCATCTGTTGACCTAGAAAATGCAAGAAATTAGACCTAACCTAAGAGAGCACAAGAGCAACCCAACTTTACAGTTCTCAAAAAAATTGTGCATCAAGCAATTTTTCTAAGAGCTACATAAAAAATGAGATAAATGGTAGGTGCCTGGCTGTTTCCAGAATGAAGCTAACTTAAGGCATGAGGTTGAACATGTGATTTTGTTTATAATGTGACTCTTAAGGGATCTGTGAGCTTTTCTATCTGCCTCAGAATATAGAGGAGTCACATCTTTGAAGTAACTGAAATTTGAAATGTATCTGTAAATCTCTGTGGTTTTGTTAGAGGGAAAATTCTGCAGCACAGTTTTCATTTAAATCAGTCTATCAATAATTTGGTTCTGATGTTAGTAAAAGTATCAGTGAAAAAAGGTAGATACCATTTTTATTCATCAAATAAAAGGCATACCTAATATTACTGATTTGTAAAGAAAATAACCCCAAGGGAGAAGCCCATTGAGAATTGCTTTTCGCATACGCATAAATGATTTTTGAATTACTACTTACTTGCTTTTAGTAAAAATAAGGGAGAAAACTATTTCTACCTCACTACCAAGTGAGTCATTCCTTAGACCTCTCAGACTGGAGATCCCCTTTTGCACACATGTACCTCCAGTTAACACATGTGGAGGACAAGGGAATATACCAGTATAACTTGCAGGGTACAAAATAGATGTACAGCTTTTTATGACAAAAAGAAAAAAGAAAAATTAGATACATGTTTTGGGATACGTGATTGTGATTAACCATCAAGCCACACATGGTTTTAAAATTTTTTTCACTAAGTTTATTGGTACATTTAAGGTAAACAGTACAGTTTACTCATCATTGGGATCTTGTACCTTTACATAATGTATCTTTGTTCTTATTTTTTCCCCCATTTCCCTGCCCTCCCTTCACCCTCTTCATCCTTCCCTATTTACAAAGACTTTGTTTCCATTTTTTCATAGTTTTTCTTTGCCCTTATTTCCTTTCCCCTACCCTTCCCACTTCCCCTACTCCTTTAGACTTTTTCTTCCTATTTGCCATTATCATTTATACCATTTGAACCTTATTTACACTTTCAGTTTTTCACAACGGAGAAACAACTCAGTATTTACTCGTGTGTATCCTATTTATTTCACTTAAAAATATTGCCTCAAGTGTATGGCTATAAATGTCCCCAGTTTCTCACTTTTTTTTTTTTTAACTAAGAATTGTTAGTATTCAGTTTTTTTTATTTTACTTTTTTTAATTTTTTTCCTCAATGAATTTATTATTTTAGGTATACAGTACAGTTACATTTATTATTGGGATCTTGTACCATTACATGACAGGTCTTGGTTCTCATTTTTTCCTCTTGCCTGCCCTCCCTTCACCCCCTCCTCCCTTCCCCATTTACAAACATTTTATTTCCATTATTTCATTTTCTCCTATTTTTCCTTTCCTTTATTACCTTTCCCCTACCCTTCCTACTTCCCCTATACCTTTAGCCCTTTTCTTCCTATTTCACATTGCCAAATATCTCATTAGGATCTTATGTACTATTATAATTTTTCGCACCAGAGAAACTATTCGGTATTTACACATGTGTGAATTTATTTCATTTAGGAGTATATCCTCAATATGTATCCATTTTCCTATGAATGAATCTAATTTCTCATTCTTTATGGCTGAGTAATATTCCATTTTATGGAAAAACCACATCTTCTTTATCCAATCTCCAACTGATGGGCAAATGGGCTGTTTCCAAGTTTAAGCTATTACAAACTGTGCCGCTATAAAAATAGGTGTGCATATACCATTGTGATATGACTCTTTTAATTCTTTTGGAAAGATACCCAGCAGAGGGATGGCTGAGTCAAATGGAACCTCTAGTCCCAGCTCTTGAGGTATCTCCATATTGATTTCCATAGTGGTTGCACCAGTCTGCACTCCCACCAACAATGGAGAAGTGTTCCTTTCTCCCCACAACCCCGCCAATATTTGTTATTGGTTAATTTCTTGATAGCGGCCATTCTTTGTGGGGTGAGATGGAATCTCAGTGTTTTTTCATCTGCATCTCTCAGGGATTTAGCTCAGTGGTTCTGGTGCCTGCCTCACAGTTTCTCATTCTTTATGGCCGAGTAGTACTCCATTTTATTTTTTTAAATCACATCTTCTTTATCCAGTCTCTAGTTGATGGGCAATTGGGCTGTTTCCAAGTTTTAGCTATTACAAACTGTGCCACTATAAACATGGGTGCATGTATATCACTGTAGTATGATTCTTTTAATTCTTTTGGGAAAATACCCAGGAGAGGGATGGCTGGGTCAAGTGGGACCTCTAATCCTAGATCTTTGAGGTATCTCCATATTTTTTTGTTTGTTTGTTTTTTTGTTTTTTGAGACAGGATCTCACTACGTAGTTGAGACTGATCTGGAACTCACTATGTATCCAGGGCTGGTCTTGAACTCACAGTGATCCTGCTGCCTCAGCCTTCCAAGTGCTGGGATTACAGGCATGTGCCATCATGCCCGGCAGTATCTTCATATTGATTTCCATAGTGGTTGCACCAGTCTGTACTCCCACCAACAATGGAGAAGGGTTCCTTTCTCCCCACAATCCCACCAGCATTTGTTATTGTGTTATTTCTTGATAGCAGCCTTTATTTTCTGGGGTGAGGTAGAATCTCATTGTCAGTTTCATCTGCATCTCTCAAATGACCAGTTATGTTGAACATTTTTTTATATATTTTTTTGCTGCTTTTACTTCTTTGTCTGTGAAGTGTCTGATCATTTCAGCTTCCCATTTTTTTTTATTGGGTTTATTGGTACAATCTAGGTCTACAATACAGTTACATTCATTAATGGGATCCTGTACCTTCACATGACAGTTCAGATTCCCATTTTTAAATTAGGTCTTTATATTTGGTGATCTGATCTTTTTGAGTTCTATATATATATTCTAGATAGTAGACCTTTGTCTGAGGAACAGCTGATAAACATTTTTTCCCATATTATAGGTTGTCTCTTAGCTCTTTTGGTGGTTTCTCTTGCAGTGCAGAAGTTTTTTAATAGGATGAGATCCCAGTTGTTGATTCTTTCTGCTAGTTCCTGCACTACTGAGGATTTGTTCATAAAGTCTTTATCTATGCTAATATCTTCAAGAGTTCTACCTACCTTATCTTCCTGCAAGTTTAGTGTTTCTGTTTTAATATTTAGATCTTTAATCCACTTGGATTTTAATTGACTGCATGGTGAAAGATAAGTGTCTAGTTTTAATCTTTGGCAGGTTGAAATCCAGTTTTCTCAACACCATTTATTAAAGAGGCTATGTTTTCTCCAGTGAGGATGGTTGCCTCCTTTGTCAAAGATGAGGCAGCTGAGTATGTCAGGAGTTGTTTCTGCATCTTCTAATCTATTTCACTGATTCTTGGGTCTATTTTTTTTGCCAGTACCATGCTATTTTTATCACAGTGGCTTTGTAGTATAGTCTCAAGTTGGGGATTGTGATACCCCCAGTCATGTCTCTGTTGCCTAGAATGGCTTTTGTTATTATAGGTCTCTTCTGGTTCCAAATGAATTTTTGGATTGCTTTCTCTAGTTCTGTGAAATATTCTGTTGGGATTTCAATTGGGATTGCATTGAATCTGTATAGTAGTTTTCTAAGTATGGCCATTTTCACTATGTTGGTTCTTTCTACCCAGGAGCAAAGATGTCTTTCCATTTTCTTATGTCCTCTTTGATCTCCTTTTTTAGAGTGCTGTAGTTTTCAGTGTAGAATTATTTTGTCTCCTTCATTACAATGATTCCTAGATATTTCATTTTTTGGATGCTAATGTGAAAGGGATTGTTTCCCTAATTTCTCTCTCAGTGAGTCTGTTGTTTACACATGATTTTTAAAATACCCTCAAAGGCTCTCAGATTTTAGAGTTGAATTGATTACACTGAGGGTGATAGTTGTTCAGGCAGCCCATGTAAGATGTTCTGACATTTTCAGAAAGTTATGTAACACACAGTTAGAAATAGCCAAACATTGCTTTTTGACTGTCAGGAAACCTTCCACCAATGTATGTATTTTGACTTGCATGGAAATAAAACTCCTCCCAGAACCTTGCCATTTTCTTCCCAGTTATAGTACTGACTCAGCTAGGCTTAAAAGCAGTATAAAGACATTTTTCCATTTAAATGTTAAGAAAAAGAAGACT